CTTGATGAAGAGTAACTAGGTGGTAAACCTGACAATGCTCGCAGAGGAGTCCAACTACGAAACCTGGGAAAATTAACCAGACATATGACCTGACACTAAAAGTTATCATAATTAATATGAAATAATAAGCCGGAAAACTTATATTATTTAAGCTTATCCTAATATTCCACTCAAAATTTAGTCATATTAATGTGAATAGGAGATATTTCCTTACTAGTGAGCCTGAGAGAAGCAATTGTTATTGTAGGCCAGTTACATATATATTTTAATATAATATGCCTTTATAAATATAATAAATATTAAAAAACATGAAGTGTCAAGGTGGATCAAATTTGTTTCTCCGGGTTTAACCCAGTAAATTTGTTCTTCATGCTCAATTCCATTGGTCTCCCTATCCATGAGCAGCTCCAGTCCGCTCGCCACTTCGATGTTAAGAGTTTCTCCGCGGTCTCCACTTCACCGCCCACACAAACATTGGCTTCTCCCCGGTGGTGTATCTTCTAAATTCGAATCGAATACGCTTCCCAGGTACTTGCGTTTATAAGTATATTTTTAGACCTCGTAAGTGGTGTCTTAATGATTTTGACATTGGAAAAACTCTCGGTAAGGGAGCATACGGTGCAGTCTATTTGGCTCGAGAAAAAGAGAGCCGATACATATTATCCCTTAAAGTAGGCCCTTTCAAGATAAGACATTTAGATCCTGTTTAAGGCTCAAATAAAGCATCAAGAGCTTGAAAACCAGCTTCAAAGAGAAATAGAAATACAATCCCATTTAATGTACTTAGCTAAATTACTAAAAATGTTATTTTAGCCATCCCAATATAGTCAAGTTATTTGGATACTTCTATGACGATAAACGAGTGTATTTAATCTTGGAGTACGTTCCTAAAGGTGAACTTTCTAAAGAGCTCCTCAAATATCTCTATTTCAGCGAATCTCGAGCTGCTACTGTAATTACAATTTTGGTTTTATTTTTAGTACACTTATCAATTAGCACATGCCCTTTCTTACTGCCATCAGAATGAGATAATTCATCGAGATGTTAAGCCGGATAACATAATGATTGCAGCTAGGGGTCAAATCAAACTTACTGATTTTGGTTGTTCTGTCCATACACCCTCTTCCAAGTAATTTATGTTCAAAGATTAAATATAGACGTAAAACCTATTGCGGTACACTAGACTATTGGCCACCCGAAATGGCTTCTGACATGTCCCACAATGATAAGGTTGACGTATGGAGCCTAGGAATTTTGACTTTTGAAATGCTCACGGGCAAGACACCGTTTAGCGGAAGAACTGCACTTGAGACTCTACAACGTATCAAATCCGCTGACATCATATACCCTGCGAGTTTATCTCATTCTTCTCTTGAATTCATAAAGCTGGTGAGTCAGCAGCTCGCTTTATTATATGATATCAGCTACTATCTCGTTCTCCTAGTGACCGAATTGCTATGTCGAATGTTACTCAACAGTCTTGGCTTCAGGAGCACGCAGAATTATCACTCGTTCAGTGTTCCGCTGCTCTTAGAGACTGGGATTCATTTAAACATTTGCAACCATTCCCCAAAGTCAAAAGTGCTTATGATGAAAGAGATATCTTTCCAGGGGGTACGAATCAATGCTATGGCAACCATAACGAGGCAGATGGTGATTTGGGCTGTATTTCATTGGATCTTACGCTTCGAAGTACTAATAACCAAATGAGCCCGTGATTCCCCGCAGCAGCGTGTCAAAATATTTCGTCTTTCAATCTACATATATTTGCTCTGATATTTGTTCTGAGGCATGTTATACTCTATGTTATCTTCTATGATTCAAGGATAATTTAGCCTTACGCATTTGGAGAACATTTGAAATTACGACTACGATAATATATAACATATTTGGACGTCGTTCACAATGGCATGTAATCAATTTTTTTCTTATTTGGCTCCGGTTTTTTATATATGTATATATATAAATTATTGGCAGCATGGGACGTATATTTCTGCCCATTCCTTCTATTTCCCTCTACTTATCAATGTATACCTAGAATGCCAAAATAAAATGACAGACTCGCTACTATTTCCCTTGTTTGTTTTAGTCCTTGGCGTTGCCTTGCTCACATTCATATGGTAGAGACGTCACGAGATAAAATGTTAAGATAGAAAACCAGTGAATGTATTGCTGGGGTTACATCGCCTTTAGTGATATGCGCAACTGCATAGTAGTGGAGAGCGAGCAGGAACGATGAGAAATGGTGCGCTGCGTAGTTAAGTTTAACAAAGGAATACCACGGTCCTATGCTGCATGGAATCGCAGATTTTGTTCCAAGACGATCCATATAGTCCCGCTTATGCTCCCGAGTAAATTGGGCCCTATATAATCAAACTTAGTTACGCGGCTATTGAAGGACTGGTTGAGTGCGGCCCTTACTCAAAGGCCTGACAGGCTGTCGATGCAGGTGTGCCTGTGCATGTAAGGCGAGGTGCGGGAAAGTTACGAAATGGTTTGAAATAAACTGCTGCGCGATATGGTCCATTCAGTCTCAATTTAAATAGGGTTCGGTGATATAAACACGCCGGGCTGATGTGACAGTGGTTGAATCAATAATTCCAATTTCTCTTGCTCATATACACTCAAAAAGCTTGGTAGTTCTTTTGCAGCTAAATATTCAAGCCTAAAATTATGACGCTCGCTTCAACTTATCCGGCGATCTCCAGTTAACGTTTCTATTCCTACAAACA